ACAGATGCTGCTCTGTAGCAGGGTATGAGCAACGCAGTATCGGGGGCTGTCGGACTGATGCGGCGACTTTCATAAAACTCGGGATCCGGAGCGTCTTGCTCAAAGGTAGCGAGAAGTGGCGTGAACGAGTAACTAAGTAGACGCGAACACGGAACAATAAGCGATGTCTCTTCATGGCTTCGGATGGGCAGAAACCTACAAGACTGCCAGGCTGATGACAATGGCCCAGCCTCCCTGTAAGATGAACTTGTGGCGCATCAACCAGTACAGCCAGTAGATAGCACCTTTCCACAGAGGCATCCCCACCAGCACGAAATACACGAATGCGACGTAGACCGTGTATGTGCCATATTCGATCACCAACTGGACCCAGTATCTGCGTTCGTGCTTAATGTTCACCAAAGTCGCCCGGTTGTAGAGGGTTCCCAAGCTGCTATCGCGGGCTCGACCCATCACACTCCGCAAAGACTGGCGAAAAGCTTTCGCGGGTTGACTGAAACTTCTCGTTTCGATGGCAGGAGGGGGGTCCGGTCTAATGGAAGGCTGTTCGCTCACAGCCCGAACTACTCCTGCCCCGTCAGGAGATGCGGAATTAGGGATACAACCCTCGAGCTCCACCGGATACACTCCTTGGGGTCCATGCGGCGTTTCCACTACCACCTGGTCCTCTAGAAGCGGGTATATTGTCCCTCTGCCTTCCTCCAAAGCCCCCGAGTGACTCGTTTGTCGTCGTCGGGCATCGCCTGGATCCACTCCAGTGGCCGGATAGCTGGCGCCAGGTTTTCTTCGCTTGATGACAGACACCTCCTCCGCTGGGTTTGGAGCAATCGGCTGCGGGAACCAGGGTTGCAGGGACGCCTGATTCCATAGCTGCCTGAGTGACGCGGCAGCTAGAAGAGACTCGGGAATAACAATTTCCTCTGTGAGGGGCTCATCGAATGGAGTAACCATGCTGCCTGATTGAGGCCACTCTGCAGGATCAGGGTCATGAGAACAAGCCTGGGGAGGCCCCTGGCATAGTTCCCAATAAGGGCCAGGGGTCTCTCCGGGGTCAGCATCCTCGGCAGCAGAGGGACTGTGCATGTAGAGTGGTTAGCCTATCGCTACCGCACTTCAGACCGGCCTTGTGACCTGTCACTAGGTGCGCGCTTTGGGCTGTCCGCCTTTATCTATATAATGAATTTTGGACGATCGGTCGTCACGGAATGTCTGCAGGTCGAATTCAATGCGTGTCTCTTTAATGGTGGTTACACAGGTCGAGGCCTGAAGGCCTCTTATCGAACGAGTCATGACATCTACACGATGGCATGATTGTGCATTAACTACCCCATAGACCATAAACACTGCCTTCACAACGTCTAGCGGAGATCCGAGTCAGCGCCATGCAGTTAAAGCATAGCTGGCTTTGAAGTATGCTACGCTCCTTGCGCACGGACCGAGGATCTGGGGCATCTGCCTTGGTTGTTGCTTTTATTTTAATTCTACCTTATCTGATATTAGTCAATACGCAGTCGTGTTGTTTAGGATTCCCATGATCCGAACCCTAGAAGAAAGGTGAAAGCTCCTCGCTGCGACTGAGCCGATCAGAATGATCATTTCGCTTCCACGGACAAGGACAGGAGTGTTCCCGCAGCCTCCCTGGGGATTTTCGTCCTCCCAGCTGGTCCCGTGGACCTAACCAACAGCTTCACGTCTATTCCTTCAGGCTACTAGCTGAATTGGTGGGGATCTTTGCCGCCCGCACCTGGCGTCACGGCATCCCCATCGGCGGCAAGGGGTAAACAGGGAGATCGGCGTTCTGAGACGCTGGTTTGCTGGGGCTCGCGACAGGACCAGACACTGACTCGATTCACAGGTACAGTAGGATGGTGGTGAAGGGAGATGATTGGCAGACTGGAAAAGATGGTTTCATCTGGTGGACGGATAATAAACCCGCCCACATTGCTGGGCCGCATACCAGGAAATGGGATCCGGTATTCTGCCCTTCATCCATCAACATCTCACTGTGGCTGTACCTCTGCGGATCACCCACCACCACAGATGACTACTCCTAATGATCCAGGCAATTCTATTCTCATATGGGGAATGAGTTCCGCCAACCAGAGTGGGCTGTTTGTAGGAGCTCCAAAAGCCATGGCTTGCCATCTCTTTATGGGCTTGTCAATTATTGAGGTCAGCTATGTCCATCGTAGAGGTTTGAAGTCCATCAGTTATGGGCGAGGCAGCCGAGAATGGGAATATATCAATTACGCTAAGCCTGTGCCTGCCTTCACAACGGACGATGTTGTGTAACCGATTGAACTGAACGTTGGAGTTTAAGCAATTCATGTGAGATCACTCAGATACCAGTGGTCTCGTGGGCCCCGATCACTGTTTGTTTACCCGGTTCTATTTCCTAATTTTGGAGGGCCGGCTGCATCGCACGGCCCGTGCCTTCTTGCTGGTACATCTCGTGTTCACGGGCAGCCGCACCACCGTTAACGCGCCTTCATCACTGGCAATGGTTATCATAGAATGAAGATCTCCAGAGGGTACAATCCAGCACAGGTTGCCATTCTGCAAGGGACTGCCGCAGAGGAGGCTTCATGGTCGGGCTGGTATTGATGCGACCAGACCGAAATACAGACTCAGCAAGCGATGACAAATATAAAATCAAGAACATAATAGAAGTAGATTATCGACATAGTAGCAAGCTAAAGAAGGGATAAAACCACATCAAGGAAGCAATAAGAGGACAGGATTTTCAGAAGCAGCATACCAGGGATACCTCAAGAACAGTGTCCCAGCATCATTTAATTAGGGCCCAATCATAATGACGGGAAACATTACCCCTTAAGCCGCCAGACCAATCATGCTCTCTGTGGTCGGGTACAATCTTCCAGAACTGCTACACTCGAAGTTAAGGGACGGCTGATGCCGCTCCTCCCCCATAGTCGAGCTTGGCAGGGACGTCTCTAGTGCGCATGGACAATACTGATAGTAAGAGAGCTGAGCACTGTCCGAACAAGGCAACAGCCATAATACTCATTGTCGAGGAAAACCAAGATTCTGCTCTAGTGGAACATGACTTCGGGATAGGCACACCAAGTCTCTAGTACTGTCATGCGTCCAGGCCTTTCATAGGGTGTAGATTCTTCTGAATCCGACTCAATCATCGAATAGGACCTGAGTCGCAGCGGTAGGCATCTTTGTGGCTCTTCATTATGACATGCACTGTTCCAATTATACGTCGCGGTTGTATTTTCCGGCACAGGGTGAGAAGCTCTCCTTACGCTGTGGCGCGATGGCCTTGTGAGGTACTCGCAATGTTGCTAACCCTAAGATATGCATTCTCCAACTCTTGGAGCTATTTCGTGTCGCATTGAGACAAAGGCCTTACAGGTTGCGGTCATCGTGTACGATCCTATTGGTAATGAGGATAGTAGACTAATCATTTGACATGACATCGTGTAACAACCTTCCACCATGACAGCGGCGATGTGCTACTATAGAGCCAGTCTTTTCATGGTTCGGCAGGTGTCATGCTCTTCGGGATTCGAAGAGAAAGCAAGGAGTATCCGTTGCGGGCCCATGTCTCACTCGCTGATTACAAGTATGCCGCCCAACTCCACGGCATAGTCCACAAATTCCCATAGGGTTGTCCCATTCTTCGTGTATATCATAGATATTGTTGAGAAATTTGACTGAGTCGTATTTGAGCTGTGTGTCAAGCAGCAAAATTTTATTTATTTTCATCAGCAGGCATTGCATCTTTCGAACTCATTGTTGCCGTGGAGAATGCTTGACTCAGTGAGTCCGAAACATGATTCAGTGTTCAGAGGTCAAAGCGTGCCTGGTGCTGAGATGTCATTTTTGTTAGCCTGTACTTAACCGGCCCATTCTCAGAGGATTCATAATGTGACCTTAGAGCGACAGCATTAGGACAATCGAAGAATGCGAAGAGTGGAGTTGGAATCCAAGCATCATATCTGACGGGTTCAGCTGAGCTGGAGATGTACCCTTCGAGAACTTAGGAGAAGGTGAAAGAATTGACGATGGTCATACCATTCGAAACCAGTCGATCGGTCACGAGCCTGTGATAGCGATATGAATGGCGTCTTCCAGTAAGTGCAATGGTGGTATGTCTACCAAACATGTTCATGAGGTAGACAAAGTAGTGTCAGACCGGTTCGAAATTTTTTTGCTGATCCAGCAAACGTACATACAGATAAGGAGACACGAAGAAGACAACAAGATCAGTTGCTATGTCCTTGGATGGCCAAAACATCAACATTCACAAATGATGCACCTGTAAACATTAGGTACCTCCCAATGCCCGCTATTATTGAACTGTCGGCTACGGTAGGTCGGAAAATAACACCAAGTGCATCCTGCGGTGTATCGTGCCTAGGAATTCTGTCTTTGTTTCTAGAATTATCAATGAAGAGTAGTACGAAGCTGTTGATATATGTGTTTTGTCATTGAGCTTCTCTCGTAATGTTTGAATACGGTGTTTTACACAGGTTCACCAATATATACTACTAGTAGTCTTGGTGGAAAGTAATATCGACACATGGTATGTATGCGAGTGCCGTCCTATTCGCACTTTGAGAGTAATTCAATCCGAGTAGATCAAGGGGAACAGTTTCACAAATCATTCTCATGATTCTCTTTCTCGATTGTGTATGAGACCATCTATCTACGGTTACTTTGCATAGGTACAAAAAGAGGGGAGCCCCCTTACCTACCAACCAAGGTTATTGTGTTGGATCGGATACTTGCTGAATATTCGAGGCCTGGAAGACACTCAGCTAAGCCCTTCAAACTCCTTGATAAGTATGTCAGGTCTTGAAATTGGTAGAAACAGTCCTGGTGTCACAATAATTCTGTCACCCCCTCCTGCTCAAAATGTTTCATAGCCCTTGCCTGCGAACATGTGCTATCGCACTGCCAGACCCAGTCTCCAATGTGTGGCCTCCCATGAGAAATACTCTAATATTGAATAATCACAATAGAAGTCTCTACGACCTATACGCGACAGCCATATACATCTTCGCCTCATCGACCAACACCCCCTTCGCACCCGCTTCTACAACAAACCTCTCGACAAACAACCTCTTTGCCTCACTCCTAACCCTCAAATCACCAAAATTTCGAAACATGGGACTAGAAACAGCCTTCTCAAAAACATCCTCCGCATCAGCAACATGATAAACACGATCCTGAAACGACTCCGTCAAGAAAACTGTCTTGACAACCAACCCAGCGCCCTCCAGAAGCTCCCTCAAAGACCATTCCCCCTGTACCCAACTCTCATCCCACACAAGCTGCACCCCCAAATCACCACTAATCTTTTTGAAAATTCTACTAACAACATGAACATCCCTCGCCGCCACATCCGTCACGATCCTCCCACCAGGTTTCAACCACCGCATCCAACCCCTAACTGCCCTGCCAGGATCAGGCAGCAACACCAACGCCGCAGCACAAGTAATCAGATCGAAGCCCTCCTCTCCGCGCAGAAGAAGACTCTCCAACCCAATACCCGATAAATCAGAGATATCATGTTGGAGAAAAGTGACCTCCGAACCGGTCTGCTGGGCTTTGTGACGCGCCACGTCCAGCATGCCAGGACTGATGTCGATTCCAACGACCAGGCCAGATTTGCCAACTGCTTGTTCGGCGAGGAAGGATACAAGACCTGTGCCGCAGGCGAGGTCAAGAACAGACTCGCCTTCGCGGGGGGCGGCGGTGCGGATGTATGCTTCTGCTAGGGCGCCGTGGTGGGAGGCGTCGTAGTTGTGGCTGCGTTCATCGTAGATGGACTGGATGATGGATGTTTGAGGGGGCATGTTAAATACTAGATTAAGTGGTAAATAACCAGTAAAAATGTCTTTGTTGAAGGAAGATGAATTTAAAAGTCAGATCTTCTATCATGATGCTGCGGTCAAAGTCATATATATAAAAACGTTAGTACTCTCGCTTATACCCGGTGACCGCGCTTGTAAGGTTACACGTTGACGCAAATGCGTTTGAAATGGCAAGCGTTTTAGATCATCAATTCTGATGGCTTATCTAGTATTTGAACTTTTCTTTAGGTAGCCTCCTCATGGTTGTGATTGGTAAAATGAGGTCCAGTCGCCTTGATGCTACATCATCCTCGGACCATACCACTCCGGACAACCTCTGTAAGCCCGAGTCTTCACCTCTTCTCTTCAAATGTTTATACCTCAGATTTGGTATTTCTATCTGATAAAACCTGAAATACAATAGATGTCTTATTATAATAATCATTCTCGTCACTGAACATATCAACGCCCTCGTGTCTCGCTTCGCAGTGGTCTCTAGGATATGGTGGAAGAACAATCAGCCGATGTCAACCAGTGCCTCAACCTCCAAGCAATAGTCCTATCCTATCATTTGTTCGAGTGTTACAGCCAATATCCCCAAAAGCATACCTCCCAGATACTGCCATCTATCTATCTACCTATCCTACCACATCTTCTCCCACCACCTCCTCGCCCAATGCATCCTAGCCAACTCGGCCCTCCTTCTCTCCAAGAACCCCCCATCCTCCCAAACCCGACACTCAGCATCCACCTCAGCCTTGCCAGAATATATATCAGCCTTTGCCGGATCCACCAACTTGGTACCCTGATAGACCTTCCAAAACACAAACATGACCGCCCAAAACGCCACGCCAAAGTACGAAGTCACGAACCCCTCCACACTGAACGGGACGAATACCGTGAACCCATTGAACAGCGTCACCGAGCATCCGATGATCAACGCCACAATAGCCGCGTACGGCTGACACGGCGACGCCCACGGGAGGAACGTCTTCCGATTGATGCCTTGTGCCTTGAGGGCACGGTACCAGGCTAGGAAGACGCAGACCATGCCGGTGTAGGTGAGGATGAAGGCGGTGGTAGTGAGATCGACGAACCAGTAGAAGACCGTCACCGCAGAGGTATCAGCGACAAGGAAGGTGATACAGGACAGGAGGGAGACGACGAGGACGCAGTTGATGGGGACTCCGGCGGAGGTGCATTTCAGGAGAAAGGCAGGGGCTTGGTGATCGCGTGCGAGGGAGTAGAGGGTGCGGCTGGAGCTGTAGAGGTAGGCGTTTCCGCAGGACCAGCCGGCTAGGAGGATCAGGAAGTTGATGAAGCCGGGGAGGCCGTGGATGCCGAGGTTCTGGATGCCAATCACCCATGGGGAGGCGGCAGATCCGGCAGCTGAGGATTCGATAGCACTGATGAGACGAGGATCATTTGGGGAGCAGATGATGCTCACGGCGAGGACACCAATAACGTAGAAGCCGACGATGCGGTAGAATGTCATTTTGACGACGCGGGGTATCGTGAAGCGTGGGTTCTCGATCTCACCGGCTGCCAGAGCCGGGAGGTCGGGTCCGGCGACGGAGAAAGCGGCGTAGATGACGACGGAGAACCAGCCCAGAAAGCGGCCGGTGCTGCCAGTGGTGTAGTACTCGTACATGACGCCGTGCGTCCAGTTGCGGAAGCCGTAGATGTCGTGGTGGGGATTGCCGCCCAGCATGGTGATGAAGGTCAAGAGGACGAGGCCGATAAGAAGGAGGATCTTGGTGGAGGCCATGATGAATTCTGTCTCGCCATAGTATTTGACGGCGACGATATTTAGGAGGAAGCACACGACCATGGCCATAGCAACCCATACAGCTGGGTTGACGCTGGTGTTCCAGTACTGCATGACTGTTGCCACTGCTGAGTATTCGGTGCAGAGAAGCATGAGTCCGCCGTAGAAGTATACCCAGCCCCTACAGATGTCAGTACAAGATTCAACGATGAGTTGGGGCTCCGTACATTGCAAATCCGAATGCTGGGTCGATGTACCGCGCTGCCAACTCGAATATAGATCCCCGGATTGGCAAGTAGGCGCACATCTCACCCACGCAAAGGTTCGTGGGCCAGATGAACAGTATACCATAGAAGAGATATCCCAAGAACAAGGACAAAGGTCCTGCATCACGGAGGTAAGAACCAATGCCGACAAAAAGGCCTGTTCCAATAGATCCTCCAATGGCCATTAGCTGCACATGGCGCGATGAAAGCCCACGCTTGGTTTCGTGGTATTCAATGACGGTCCCATTTTCCGTATGAGAGAGACTATCGTCTCCAGACTCTCTGGATATGCTAGCTACCGAGGTTGACTTTCCCATGGCTGACTTTGGCAGATGTGTGGGTGTGGACGGCGAGGCCATCCATTATAAACTCTATCGTCCGTCTGCATTGACGGCAGGAACTGATAAGTGCAACTTGAATTGCAGATGGAGATAATGCAAAGTTCCAGCGAAGAGTCTGGGGAAGCATACTGGGTGATGCCATTCGTGGAGGAGCAGGACACGGATCGCGATAAGAGGCTGGATCATCGGACGATCAATCAGAAAGACAGCCGATGTTATCAGAGTTATCACGTTGCCGAAAGAGGGAGGAGCTGGCGATGCCAATCTCGCCAAGTGATAAGCTCACGCGCCATCGTTTCCGTCTTTATCTGTATCTGAGTTATGATCATATGCGCAGATGGGCATTTACTCTGTGGATAAGAACCGGCGATTGCAACCAGCTTCAAACGATTGCAAGAAAGCAGATGTGACAGTCTCGATCCACCCACACAGCAAAATTCCACATAGTGGATGAAAGTTCAGCAAAGAAGTCCTAACATCGGCTTCAGCATGGAATGCGACATGTTCCTACAGAAGTCGCGAGCTTCCAGTAGTTCACGATCCTGACAGACGAAAGTCATATTTATAACTGCTTTGTCTGCTGGTTGTCAGGTGCATATGGTCAGCTTGGTTGATTCCAAGAAAATGAAAGCAAGATTGGTCAGTATTGCTACGTATCCTTCAACCTAACCTATATTCACTTGCTCACAATTCTTCAGAGCTTCCCCGCCGTTTACCCCGGATTATCCTCGCTCGGGCTTGGGAGGCGCCTGTGACTTCCCCTCTTTTGTCGGGTTTTGATTTCAGCGCCATGCCTGTGGCTTCGGAGTCGCGGTGCAAAGCATACCGACTTGCATACTGACTCGGTGGTGCCAACACTTGGCTTGCTCTACTCAGTCTTGCATTGGCTCTCTTTGGCCAATGACAAAACCCTGGATGTACCATCAACTACGACCAACGCGACGCCATGAGATCTGCATATTTGCATCGGCCCTATAAGCAGGACTTGGCTTGACGATTTTTCCTGTTGGTGGAATCAATCTAATACATTTGCATGAATCCGGAAAATATGCGATATAAAGCAGCTGGTGGTGTCTTGCACATCATGACCTGCGCTGGTTCACAGACAAGAATCTCCAGCAGTCACGATGAAGCTCTCTTTCCTTTCCGTGTTTTTGACCTCCGTTCTCGCACTCCCATCTTCCCTCTCATCGCGAAATGATATACCTCCATTCTTCCTCCTAGCCGGCGATAGCACCACCGCCGTCCAATCCAGCGGCGGAGGCGGCTGGGGCGATGGCTTCATCAATACAACACTTCATAAAGGAGCCAAAGGTATAAACTACGGCCACAACGGAGCCACAACCGTCAGTTTCCGATCCGGAGGCGACTGGGCCACTGTCCTGTCCAAAGTCGGAGAATATAAGTCGGACTACCGAGCCTTTGTGACCATCCAATTTGGCCACAACGACCAGAAGGCCTCCGCGAACATCTCTATAGCTGAATACACCAGTAATCTGGAGCAATTCGCAAAAGATGTCAAGAATGCAGGAGGCACACCTATTCTGGTGACGCCCTTGTCTCGTCGCAACTACGATAATTCTACTGGAACGCCTCTCGTAATTGAGAACTTGGCGGACCAGCGAGCGGCGACTATTGAAGCTGCGAAGAATACCGACACGTCTTATATCGATCTGAATAAGGCGAGTACAAATTACTTGAACAGTATAGGGCCGGCCGATGCATATACGTACAACTTGGCGTCGGATGATTATACTCATTTGAACGACGAGGGGAGCATAGTGTTTGGGGGAATGGTGGCGTCGTTGATTGACCAAGATTTTGCAGAGCTGAAGAGTGATGGCTATGTTAAGGTGAAGGCGAAGCTTCTGACTGCGTTGGAGAAGGGAGAGTACTACTGGCCTTGATCGCTGGTTCCTCGCTGAGATTTGAATCATCATATGTTGCTTTTACACTGTGTTTCGATCTATGTGCAATGGCTAGTGGATAGTATTTATCAGGCAGACAATGACATATTCCACATCCCCAGTTTGAGTGTTAACACGATATGTTTGTGTTATTCTTATGCTTTGGTCACTAGCAAAATTGATTCAAGAACTATCGTTCCAGGTCTTTGCGACCCTGTTGCTGGGGCCATCAAACAGCAAATCTGTATCCCAACCAAACGTTTGTGCATCCATATGTGTCATCCAAAACCAAAGAAATCTATTCTATGAACCGAATAACCTCCGATAATCTGCTCCACTGACTCAGCTTAGCAGGATAGCACATCCAGTGTAACATTCTTGATCACGGCTCAAAGATATAGACGTCTCACTTTGGAAATTCTATAAGATATGAGTATATCATGGTCGTCAGACATCGCAGGGGCCCTTGAGGTAGCTATATAACCTTGAGTATTGGATCATCTATCATTGTAACTATTGACAACAGCAGTGTCTGCCCTTTTATGTACTCAGGGAATATTCCACCACTACAATATGGATCGTTGGGTCTGAGGCAGCTGTATCACTGTCTGCATTTGGTGTTGGAGACGTTGCACATAAGATCCTCTACGTGCAATGTTAAGGTAGTTTCACGCACTGAACTATGCAAAAATATTTGATGCCAAAGCGTAATACCTCACAGATTAGAAAATGACACGAGTATCCCTGATTTATATCTTTGTCTATATAATAACCACCGAACCGAAGCATGTGATATCCATGGATCCTTCAATCAAGGTCTCTGAGCTCACTAGATATGTCCAAAGTACAACAGCGAATATTTTGAATAGAGATATATCCTCTCTGAGCAGTCTTTCTTGTCTCAGTCGCCCACAGTATTCCCCATGTTATCCTCCCAGCAAAGCAGAAACAGACTACAAAAAGAAGCAAGGACCTCTCCCCCCATACACACAATATCCAATCACGCAGCAAAGTCCACAAACAATGACAAACAAGCTTCTGCTGCCAGATGACATACCTGCGCAGCACATCAGCCCAGATCTATAGCACGGCGAAATACAGCCCTTCTATGTATGCAATGTTATGTGAATTATTGCATGGGCTTCTGCAAGGTTCGATGGGTGTCAGCAGACAGTTCTCTGCAGAGGAAGTAGACGTAAGACAGTCTGGTAGACTTCAGGAAGTAGTAGGAAGTATAGGCTACCAAATAGTACATAGGGAGTAAGTGTTGAAACCTGAGAAATCTCTCAACACACCACTACCGTCCCACCACCACCACCACACCACAACAGACTCAGCTGGCACACACACACACATACACACCAGCTACCTACTTGACTTCCTGATCGGCAATCTTCATCCGACAGCCATGACATCCCTCGTTACATCCCCCAAAAATAACAGCAATAAGACAAAGGAGAAATGCCATCTCAGACGCAGGGAGGGAGGGAGGCGAATCCCGAATCAAGAAGGTGACAGTGGAAGTGCAGTCTAGAGTCGGATGCAGTGCATGAGAATTGAGACAATAATAGCAATAGCAGCAGTCCAGTCCAGTCCAGTCCAGCCAGACCCGAGTAGTAGTACTCACTAACCTACTAGTAAATTAGTTAGTTAAACTACCAAGTTAGTTAGAAGTTAGTAGCTAATAGCAAAGTGTTACTCGGCCGTGACATCGAATAACCACGCAGAACTAAGAATCGGCTTATCTCCGTTCCCTCTGATTGCATACAGCCGGTACCCTTTGTTACCATACTTACATACAGACCCAAATACATTGTCACAGTTAAATGTCTCAGCCAGGTTCACCAGGCAGTCATTCTTCATTCAGTGCCCTATATTCACTTCTACCAGCATAGACATAGTTGAAATACTCCTCCTTCCTACTACCACACACCCATCATCCATCATTCATAATCCATAATTTACCATCCATCATCGATCACCCACCCAATACCGTATAACCCAGTAAACAACATAGTAGTAACTTTCCCATTCCACATGCAGGGACCACCCAAAGGTCCGTGCATCCAACCGGTCTTCTCTCCTAACTTAGTAGCCTACTAGCTAAACTGCAGTAAGAAGGTAAGTAGTAGGTGTGGTGGGTTGGTTAAAATGACGGGCGGCCGGCCGGGCGCGTGCGCGGACGTGGATACCTTCCTTCCCTTCCTTACCTATCTATCTACTCCGTATGTATGTACTATCTATTAATTTCCTCTCCATTCCTGCAACGCGTTCTGCACGGCGGCCCGTGGCACGGGAAGACTTTTAGAAGGGGGGCCAGCGCTATGGCGCTAATTTAGGTGTGTGTGCGCATGCGATGCGAACGGAAAGACGGATGGCTATCTACTATCTATTTTTCTATCTACCTCGGAAGTAAGAACTAAGAAGTAAGTAGGTGTGGTGTGGTGGGGAGCTATCTGTGGTCTACCTATTTGCCCTACAATGGGAATAAGTAAGATACATGAATGAGTGAGTGAGTGAGTGAGTGAGTAATTGGATATTTCTAATAAATTGAAAATCATTTCATCACATCCCACTCATCCGAAAACCCTCGTAGAATAATAATAGCAATAGTATGGAGTAGTAAAGTGATCCGACACCAACCGTTCTGGGGCCCAAAAATATCCCTCATCCGAACAACTAACACACACACACCAGCAAGCAAGACAGCAAGAAAAACCAGCATAATTCCGTTCCCGTAGCGTGCAGGATCGTCAAGGCTCAGCCGCAGTTCCGCTCCACCACTCCACAAGGTGGTTGGAGTAAAATAGAAGGATGATTATTACAGAGTACATCTAATAGCAACTAAGTGTAGTGTAGTGAAACTTACAGGTCAAGAGAAATCTCCTCGGAGTAACTGCGGTTAATACCATGATGTATCCAGATACAAAGCGACTTGCATTAGTAGTTTAGAAAATTACTAGGGGAGGTACTACGAGTCTTCGAAACAGGTTTAGCTAGGCTAGCTGGTAGCCTGGCAAAGCAATTATCGAGAGAAAAATAATAATAATAATAATAAACAGAGGGAATGAATAATAGCGCGCTAATTTCAATTACTTTTGCTGGTTGCATAACGCTACTGTAGGTCTTATGTTGCTTAGGGTGAGACCGCGTAGCACCAGGAACGGTCGAGTCAGCTTTTCAATGGGCTTGTGTGTTATGTACTACTGGGGGAATCCCTGTTTAGTAAAGTAGTAGTGGGTGTGAGGTAGTGGTGATTATTGGTTGTTAGTTAGTAGTGGGTATTATTGGGTGTGCGCGCGCTTCCCACCATTATTTACTACTACTATCGTTGCTGTTCAATGCTGTGGTTAGATGTGCAGTGGCAACTGGCAACTGGCAAGGTTACATATCATGCAACAATCAGGCCGAGGAGCTTTCTCCACAGATGGGAGAGCGCGGACATATTGCATACATAGAAAGGTGGATTAGTTAGTCGAGATAGGTATAGTAGACTGTGGTTGACAATCACATCTTACTAGACCGGATGGGGTCATTGGAGTGCAAGTCAGCGAGGTATTATTACTCCAACCACCTAATTGTTGGTCACCTATCTTGAATTAACCAAACACACTTCAAGGGTGTATTATTAATCTCGTCACCGTCGCACGTTGCTACTTATTTACTAGTATGTCTGGGTCTAGATGATTAAGGCGATGGTGTGGGAGACCGACTAGAAGACATTTAATTGGCTACTATTCCAACAGGCCAAAACGATGTGGAGGGGAGGGCCTCCCGTGCCAATTGCAGTGTGGAGGGATGCCCACCGGCCAGTGCAACACCACATCGTGACGGACTGCAATTACTGGTCGAGGCTGAAGAGTGGAGACGCTACTGGTGGGGTGGGATAAGAAGGACAACTGCAGTGACAGCGGGCCTATCATCATCCCGGTCCTTAATTTACTCGGCCATTGGGGGATTGTCGGAGCTACTAAGGAATGGCGTGCTACTACTTCAGTCGCCCGTAATTAGGGAGTTATATCCGGCCATCTGATAGCAAATCAGCCCTAGAGGCGTTCCGTGCCCCCCTGTGGTCAACCAGAGCATGTAACAGCTATTCAGCACCTAGATCAAGGGCACATTGTATCCCAATGTCGACCAGGGCTACTTGAATATCCCGCATCGCACAGCCTGCGCAAAACGGTGGTTAGCGTCCCTGGAGTATCCGCGAAGAAAGCACGCGTGAGATCCCGATGAGGCCAAGCTTGGTACCTCGACTCGGTGCTTACAGCCTTATCCTGTAAGTATTATTACTTTTGTGACGAGGCCCACGGCCCGTGCAGAAGTTATCTCGCGCCCATGATGCCATCTTGCATATCCGCTCGAGCAAAGACCACCAAGGCGCCTGTATTCCACGATCGCCATGCACGCCGTCGGAGATTTTTCTTCTCAGGCTGCCTGTTACTCGCGTCGCGCAGGATCGACAATGCGATTGTTCTATGCTTCGTATGGATGGGTAGCTGTCCGTACGGAGTACAGGAAGGCTGATGACGCTGCGGTGCACCATATCGGACCATAGTGGTCCGTGACACCCGTTGCTAGATCCCTGTCTGTATCCTGTTGCCAAGCTTGCTCGGATTACTAGCTTGATGCTTCATGCGCCTATCATCGGTGCAACACGTCCTCTGGATGCGTCTCAGATCGTCGGCAGCTTCGCATATGTACACGCTCGAGTCGGGCGGCTCTAGGTATCCGCATCGCTAGTTGACGTCTGTATAGTACAGCGTTCGTCGCATCTCGCGGAAAAGCAGGGAGGTCTCGTTCCTTGTTTCTCTCTGGGGATTCAGGGGAGCTGGTGAATCTCAGATGCATCAAGTCGTATAGTAACACGATCGCACCCGCCCCTAACCCACAACGCCCTCGGACCAGCCGTCTCCAGTAGAGCGCTAAGGAGGCACTGGTAGGAGATCTTCCGCAACGGGACCCCAGACTGGTTAGGTTCGGATTACTCGGTTTCTGACAGGTGTACTAACGTATCGTTCCTCGGTAGCCTTGACGGCGGATCGAAGGTTGCGGCAACACCAACGTGATGATTGGCATCTCCGCAATTGGTACCTGTATATAAGGGGATGCTAGCGTCCTGCCGACTACCCATTTCTTTCTCGAGCTTTAGCAGTAGTAGCTGGTTCTGGTGGTGACGATGCGTGTGTGTAGATCCAGGGTATTGCGTACCTGCTCGATCAATACCAATAATACCACCGGTGCACCACCTGACACCGCACTAAATGGCACTTGAGCTGTCGGTGGCCTCAGGTGTCGAGGGTCTGTGGTCAGCCAGAAAGAGGGGCCGTGCGATGAAAGGAACTGAAGGAAATAACCTCGGAAGGGTGTAAGAACCGCTGGCGAGCTCAGCTCACTCCTACGTGTCCGCTATCCATGGGTGCGATGAATTATGCTTCGCACGAGTCATACTGCTGTTTCGATATGGTTGTGCAACACCGGTCGACAACGTCCCATTCTCAAGCCATGATCCCAGAATTTTGAGATTCTCCTACCCTCTTCATTTACAATGCGCGGATAAAATCTTGCATATCCCACCGTCGACGTATCGTAGACGGACCATGGACCCCGTGCTAGATCCATGCATGGAAGCTGTCCTCAAACACCTTCACTGCCAGCAATCATTGTTCAACGTTCTGTCTGCAAGCCCATAGACGTCATAACGTGGGATGTTGCCAGACATGTTCAACCAATCGGCCATTTTAGCACTCACGTCGGCAGCAAAGGTGGGCGGCTAATCCTGGGTAAATGGGATCCTCGTGCAGCACTATAGGTTACCATGCAACACCATCCCTTAACGCTGCAAGGAATCTTGGTTCCATACGGACTTCAAATCATGTTAGCAACCCAGTAAGTACATGGGATATCTCTTTTGTGCGCTTGTTGTTGTAAGTCGCTGGCACTTTACAGGGATCTCACAGGCTCCAGCAGGACGGGCTTTTGTATGCCGCTCGGAGTATAGCTTTCATTCTGTAGATCGCGCGTCTATAATCCATGACTGGAATATATCGGTTGAAGACACAGGAATCGTATTATGCTCAATGTCTACTTGATACTAGGAGTTCTGTTCTAAATCAGTTCTCATTGCGATGGCGCAGCGGTCGTGCGACCAACAACCGCCCGTTAAAGTTGACAGTCAGCAGGTCCGCAACCATCCGCACTTCCCCCATGCACATCCTGGATAAGACTGGACAGTCGCTTGTGCATAATGCGTGGACACTCTAATCAGTGTTGTGTTTGGGCCTGCCTCGGAATGGCGACGATACCTATGCTCAGGCAATTTAGCATGGAAGTCAAACTCGCGTGCGCCAGTCACCTCTTTGGAATTGGAGACGAGATTGGCCAATGCGACCAACGTGGACACGATACTTTGGAGGGAATCCTCGTGTTGGTTGGTTGTCCGTTCCCGGAAATCGAGGGCGAACGCGCTGTTCCTAGGGAACCGACCCCAGTGCTTCAGGGGACGCCAGTCCTTGGGGAAACTGACCAAGATGATCAGCTATGGGCGGCGCTCAGATCCAATCAACGGGCAGTGGAATGTCGGAAGCTACTAGTGCAACCGATGAGCTCCGGATTATTTCGCCCACGGCCTTTGCCAAGTCTTCATCGTCGTCCGCTTGACAGGGAAAGGTACTCCACTAGGCAACGATCAACTGCCCGATGGGGGCGTTGCGGAAGATGAGGTGAAACCGAACAAAAAAAGAAGTCGTCAATTAACCTTAGTAGCCGGGACCAAAATTGGACACCGCCCGATGGAAGCGAGGAAGGATGAACCTAGGTAGTTGGATGCCTAGGCACATCTGTGTTCCATCGTGGAGAAAAGATGGCTGGGGGAAGTAACCGCCATTCTCGTTCGTCGGGATTGGTACGGTCTTCGCGACTTTGACTTCCCAACAGTTTGTTAACACGATGAGGTATCAGCTTGGTACCATACTTTGCAGCTCACCAAGGAGTCATTCGTCTTTCTTTCCCTCCAGGCAGCTCACTTTCCAGCCGGTGGAATGACCTCAGGGGTCCCACCCGCAGCAACGGATCGAACGGATACGATTGGCAAAATACCCGCTGGATCCAGGGAAATCCCCCACACGAACCTTGAACCTTCTCATTCGTCCTCCCCACAAAATGGCGCAGGCTCGGTTTTCCATGCTGCGGTCCGGTCGTGAGACTAGTGCAGGAGATAGACTGACGGACTGACTGAGAAGTGAGAAGATGGTCCAGTGCTCCAGCTCCAGCTCGCAACCGGTCCTTCCTTTTCCTGTCTCTCCACCCCCCAACGTCTTCCTTCCTTCCTTCCTTTCCTTGCCAAATTGGCGCCAGCTGCGATTAATTACGATCAGTTCCATTGTTTCCCTCCATTACCCTGATTGGGGGGTTTTTGAAGCGGCGCCAGCCGCCACCACATATGTAAGCAGTTAAGCAGGGCTAGGCAGCCCACCGACTCGGGCGTAGCCGTCGAAGGTTTAATGGATTGGTTTCCCTCCAACCCCAACCAGCCGACCCGTCGACGTGGTTTCTTTTTCCCTCTTTGTTCCTACCCCATACGGATTACGGATACTTCTGACTGGGATCTCGCTTCCATCGTGGCTCCTGCTAAAGCCGGAGGCAATAGTGGCCGATCCGGGCAGTCACGAGGTCTGGGGTTGAATTCCACCCTGAACTCTGGCTCCTGCCGAGAGAAACGACCCAAGAGGCTAAGACGGGCCAAATAACGGCTTGGAGACCGAACCGGTATGGTTCTCTTACGGCCTTACCATATCTTACCCTTTCACCAGCGTCAATGTTACCTGCGCGCCGTATCAATAATTACCCCAGGTCGCACACCAAAAAGCAGGACCGGCCACAATCGGGCCTGCAGCCCGTGAGCCTGCCTGATCCAGTTAGCCTGCATACTAGTCCGGTAGCCTGAAGCGCCCTTGACTTTTAGTAGTGACACACCAACTCACCGGTAATCTAATCTGCAATACATTTGCCGATGATAAATGACAGTGGCCGGTTGGAAAAAAGAAACGCTGTAAGTAACGCGAGATAATCATAATCTTCTTTCTATCTACTGTCGTCTCTTGGCTAGCAACCCTTTGTGGATTCATTAGCTGCTTGCATCGTCGGGATTCCCTGGATGCTTCAGGACCCAGAAGAGTATGCGAGGTTCTAGAAAGGCAAGGCTGTGTTTGTGTTGTCTCCGAATGGCACCGCCTGCTTTACCTCTTTCTCAGTCAATACGTGACAGACCAGACTGAACCTAATTCAACACACAGACTTTATGTTGTATCCCGGATGGGTGCGATATTCTGGCATGCAGCATGAGCTTTTTGATTATCCCCTATATTTTGGATCACCTTAATCAACTATTCCTGCAGCAAACTGGCCGTAGTCTTCAGGTGTTGCTCTGTGCTCATCCTGTAAACACCGGTGCCCTTTCTAGAGATCTCCAGCGACAAACACAACAGCTCCAGTTTGGATGAATTCAAAACCCTTCCCCCAAGCCACAGCGAGCATTTGAGCTCCTACACCAGTCACTTTCTACAAGATTGAACAGAGCAAGCAAGAGTACCGTCGACAAACACTAAGAATACTGTCTCAAATAACCGACAACACTAATATTCTCCAAGTAGAACACAACTTATGCAGGCCTAGGTACCAGACCACCATCCTACTAGTGTGTCTTCATAGAATGATGTTAACCCAGGTTTAAAAATAACGATATGGTCATCATTGCTAGTGCTTCGTATTCCATGTCTCATTGGAAGTTGCTCTCAAGACAATGAGAGGGAATTGATGATCTTGACGAAGCTGGTCATGCACGACTAGTCCATCCTCAGGTCTGTCCCTTCTTCTGCCTCCTTGTTAATGCCTTGTACTCTCGGCCGTGTCCCCTGCCGAAGGGCCATCGTTGACATTCTAGACGACGGTGTGTGTGTGTCGTAATGAGGATCATTCCACCGACCATGGGACGGGCTCAGATGGCCAGGTCGCGGTCTACGGAGATAGCTTCTTTTCCTCTTGTCTGTCTCTCTAGCTGGCTAGTTAATTAGTTAGCTTACTAGGCAATCATCCCACTAGCAAGGGAAGTAACTCGAGATACTACCTGCCCAGGAAGTAAGTGATCGGAGAGAGACCTGCGTGACGGGCGAATACCCAGGAGATACGAAATTACAATACGTGCGGCCGGGATGTGACCGTATTGTGGGCTGGGACAGCATCCACTCCCCCGTGACTGGGTTGTGGGGCCCGCTTTCTGGCTCTGGCCCTGTCATGGCCCATGCTTTCCCTCCCAAAGCACGCCGGACCAGAGCCACCCGGCCCACTCCGTTTCCCGTCACGACCCATTATTGGCTGACCGGCCGTGACTAAAGCTGGATGCTGTTTCGTGGGTTTGTCCCGCAACATTCGCCGGGGTAAGTTTAGTTAGTTAGACGGGCCTCTCACTGCTCAAGCTGGTAAAATGTAGGTTGCAAAATAGAAAAAGAGAAATTGAAAAAGGAAGGGGGAAAGAAAATTGTCACTTTCGGCCTGGGTAGCTAAGGTGGTAGGTTGTAGTCCGGCCATCAGTTAGTTGGGAGGCTAGGCTGGTCTGTTCGTAACCGGAGGGAGCGATCCCAATACTTCAGGGAATAATATGGAGTAATAAATCGAAACGAAATGACATATCTGGCAATTGGAGATGACTAGCTAACTAGTTGGTTTAGCAGGTGAATGGACCGCGCCTGCTTACGACATACCATCGACCTGCCACTAGATAACCCGACCAGCTGCTCGGAGCATGTACCAGTTGAGTGAGTGAGTGAGTTGAAAAGAAAGAAAGAACAGAAAACAACAGAAATAACAGAAAAAGAAAAAGAACCACTGCGAACGATCCTGCGAGTTGTTCAGTTCTGGTGCTCCCCGTGCAACAGCCAGACTACTAGGGCGTTTCCTTGCTGCGGCAGAAGCCACTAACTGCTGCGGTTCCTGCTCGTACTGACACCCTTCGGAGAGTACAGCCTTACAACCACCCAATCCGCGCTCATCCCCCATCCCCCAATTCATCAGTCATCCTTCCTGCTCACCTTCCATCCCTCTTAATTACATCTATCTAACCACCACTACAACTACTACTACTATTCTTTTTTTTTTTACTTTCATATCACACCCCTCCCTCTCCCCATATCCCCAACCCCAAAGTGTCCTTTTCTTCTCTTCCTTCTGAGCTCTTTTTTTCGGACCACATACCGCCCTCTTGTCTGCTTATCAGCAATTGATTAAAGCACAGCTACTACTAGTCGGCTATCTCCGGCTTATCCACCGACTCACACCACCATCGCGGCGCATGTCCGCGCAACTGACCTCCATCCTATCCTATACCACAATCCTCGTCTAAGGAATCCAGGTCCAATGGTCACTGGCATTCGTGGGTGATTTAGTCCATCCTCACGAGTCTTTCCGTGCGCAGAGCTTAGTGAGTAGCCACCCGTGGGTTTCCCCTGGAGCCTGGAAACTCAACCCCTGCTGATTACAGTTGCTAATCCCGAGATCGATTGCCTCTCCTCCCAGGAACGGAGCCACTTCGCCACCCACACCCACTTGGTCTAATTCCTTTGTAACGGTGATCCTATTAATCGTCTACACTTTATCAAGTTATCGCCGCCCACAATTATTCTTCCTTCAACCTACCTTGAACTACTACCCCCCCGAATAACGGCCTTCTTGTTTGTTCTTCTCCCCGACCTTCTGTCCTGACTTGGTGAGCTTCCCGTGGCATTGCTGCATTCTATTCGCTGCATCTTTTGTCCGGACAACGAACCAAGCTAATTCTGATCTCATTGAATCAGAATGCTGTCAATGTCGCATCCCTTTCGCAATCTTCACCAGTAGCTTCCTTTCGTCACTTCTACTGTCCTTCCTCTCTTGGCAGTGCTTTGTCGGCTTCATCTACCTTATAAACAAACCCCCCGCCTCGCGCTATTCCAGACCCCGCCCCCGCAACCAGTGCTTTCGTAACTGGTTCCCACAAAACAGAAGAACGTTCTTAGGATGTTACTAGATACAATGGTCGGCCAGGACCCGGCCACGAGCCCCAAGGTGGAGGACCTTGCTAGTATCAGCGAGATCCCGGTCGATGTGCCTGGTGAGCTTATGTTCTTCGAGGAGTATGCTTATCTATCCGTGAATCCTAACAAGACCAGCTGCCCCCAAAGAGGACTCGAAGAAGGAGTCCAACGGCCAATCTGATTCCAAAAATAATAATGTGCCTCCCCCCAAGACTGACAAGCCCCGCCCTCATGGATGTACGACCTGTGGCCGGTCTTTCGCTCGGTTGGAACACCTCAAGCGTCATGAGCGTTCGCATACCAAAGAAAAGCCCTTTGAATGCCCCGAATGCGCGCGTTGTTTCGCTCGTCGGGATCTCCTTCTCAGACATCAGCAGAAACTACACATGACTACAACGCCATCATCACGTCCCAGAAATGGTCGACGAGAGAGCACGGGAGGCGCATCCACTGGAGCGAACCGGGTTCGCAAGAACTCAATCGCTAGTAACTCCAGTAACATGCGTCCCAGAGCAAATACCATCAGCCATGTCGATGGGGCTTCCTTGGGAATAGTGAACACCTCGAATCCTCCACCAGCGCCAGCTGGCCACTCGGGTCATACTTATCATGCAAGTATTGGCTCCGCGTCAGTGGGTTCGAACCTGGATTTTCGAGGTTACTCTTCAGGTCACCATCCTTCCATGAATGGCTTGACCAAGCTAGAAACATCGGGTTTGCCCATGGATCTTTCTGGTGGTCTTCGCACTGCTCCTGTTTACGGTAGCTTTGACATCAATGTCCCAGATATGTTCATGGGCCATGGCAGTACCATCAACCCAGCGCAGCTGCACTTTGGAGGCTCACCCCAGACCTACGGAAACGACTCGCCATCATCCCCATATGCCCATGGTGCGCATCATATGCCTCCGGCGGATGGGATGATGGAAGATGATTTCAGCTTCGATTGGATGAACACCTTTGACCCTGCTATGGCTATGGGTAAAAGCGCCGATTCCGCCATCGATGAGTCGTCCCCTTCTGCAATGAGTACGGGCAGTCAGAGTGGAATCAGTGAAGCCATGATGGATGGCTCACATCGCTACTCCATCTCTTCAAACAGCTGGCACAACCCGTTTCCCCCACATTCGACGGCGGCCGCCGGCCAGTTTCCCCTCGAGTACACCTCATCTAGCTTCAACGATATAGGCATTCCACCGGAAACGGTTTCGCCCAAGTCATTGATGGCCCAGAATCCTTTTGCGGAAACCTATGCAACTCCTCCATCCATGACTTCCGTTGGCCAGCCCTTAATGGGTGGACATTCGCAGAGTATGTTTTCATCCTCTATGGCAACAAACGGAGAATCTCCTAATCCTTTCAACCTCCCTTTCGCGAATAGTGCCCTACGAACTCACCATTCCCCAAGCTCCACGGATACCTTTACAGACTCCACCCGACAGGCTCTATTAGCAAGCATGGCGCGCCCTACCAGTCTCAATCACCGCAAGTATTCCCAGCCCGCCAGCGGCATGATTCCCTGCCGCGATCTTTTCTCCCGTTCCTCCACTTTCACCGGCTCCGGTCAATTACCTAGCACCTCGGACATGCAACGCTACATCTCAGCATACATCACGTATTTCCATCCACATATGCCGTTCCTTCATATCCCGACCCTTGACTTTCAGGCGCCCGAGTACACCAACAATCTGCGGACTCCCAGCGGCCATCTCAATCTCAGCTCTACCGGCATCACTGGAGGTGGTGGCTCCCTGATCCTCTCCATGGCGGCAATCGGGGCCCTCTACGAATTTGACACTGCGGCCTCCAAGGACTTATTCGAAGCTGCCAAGAAAATGATTCAACTCTACTTAGAGGAGCGACGTAAAGCGGACATGTCGACCCCGGTCGGGCGCCACAGTAACGCTCGTGACAGCTCGGTGCACAATACGCCGCTTTGGTTGGTTCAAGCGATGCTCCTCAACGTCATCTATGGACACACCTGCGGCGACAAAACATCTGCTGATATTGCGAGTACGCATTGTGCCGCGTTAGTCAGCCTTGCCCGGGCGGCTGAACTGAATCGCCACCTAGATGCGAAAGACCTCTCTCAGGATTACCTCACTGCCGGACTTGCCAGCCGCGTTGGTACTGACGCTGACAGTTGGGGCCAAGCAGGGCAACCAAAGGAGAGAAGGGACTGGTTGGAGTGGAAGATCGTAGAAGAGCGAAAGCGAACTCTCTACGCAATATTTGCGCTTTCATGCTTTCTTGTGTCGGCTTATAACCATGCACCCGCTCTGACCAATTCCGAAATCCGCCTCGATCTGCCCTGCGAAGAGGATCTCTGGGCCGCGGAGTCCCCACAAGCGTGGAAGAAGCTTGGTGGACAGTCAACACCAAAGAAGGGGCTGTCCTTCTCCGCTGCTTTGACTACGCTGCTTACCGCCAGTCAACGAGAGCAACAATCGTCTACAACACAGGCCAAAGCATCTGGCAACGATGCCTCCGAAGCATCTCCCAGTGGCGAACTCAAACCTAGTACCTTCGGCTGCTTGGTTTTGATATATGCTCTTCACAATTACATCTGGGAGACTCGTCAGCGTCACATAGGCCGGCAGTGGACATCACGAGAGAACGAAGCCATGCAAGCACACATCGAGCCCGCACTGCGAGCCTGGCAATCCGCTTGGGCCAGCAATCCTGTGCATAGCTTGGAACGTCCCAATCCTTTCGGTGCAGGGCCCCTCTCTGCTGACAGTATCCCGCTGTTAGATCTCGCGTATGTCAGGCTATTCGTCAATCTAGGAAGGTGCAAAGAAGCATTCTGGCAGCGTGATTGGAATGCGATGTCAGATGAGCTTGCGCGTGGAACAGGTGTAGATCAACCCATGGACGATATACCATCCGATGTGCTGGACCCATCGATCACGGAAGGTTCCCACCAGATTGATCATCGGCGCGATTCAGTGGCAGATCTGGGTGTAGGTGATCTTGCTATATCCGGTACTCCCACCCAGGATCATCCTCTGCAGACTCTCATGGGCGTATACCGACCTGGCCAAACCAAGCGGGAAAGGCATCTGCGCAAGGCTGCCTTTTATGCAGCTGACTCAATCTCAATGTCCGATCAACTAGGAAATACCTTTGCTGAATTCACGTGCCGGGAGCTGCCCATTCAGTGTGCCATGTGCACTTTCGACTGCGCTCAAGTGCTGGCAGAATGGATCACTACTGTTCAGGAACGCGTCGGCCCCTACCTAGGTGTTCTTGGCCAGGATGACGTCGACCTCATGCAAGCTACCAGCCTTCTCTTACTCGAGGAAGAGGACTGCAAACTGTTGGGCAAGATCAAAGAGATTCTTTCCAGCGTTGAAAATAAGATGCAGAGAGAAGTTCAAAGCGGGGTAACCATGTCAGCCCTGAGCGTCCTACAACGCCTGCCTAGTGTTGTTGAAGGGGGTTATGGCAGCAAGATTCTGATTGCCACGGCAAGTCTCCTTGACCGGGCCGCTGTGTGGCCAGTGACAAAGCTTATGGCTCGATCACTAGAAGCCCAAGCTATGCGGCTGAAAGAGCGTGCTCAAAACTCGACCTTGGGAGCCAACAACTAGCTCTATAATGAGGATGGCTTGATGGCATTGTAAAGCTGATCATACACTCTCTCCTGGCAAATATTGCTTGGCAACCCTCCCAGACAGACTTGCTGTGCTACCATGGATTGGCACTATTGGCCACCTCAGATCGTCTCTGCATCTCAGGCATACGCCACACGCGTTTCATTAATTCAAGCTCCTGACTGTTCCGCATCATTGTGCATCAGAATGATGGAGGGTGATTATTGAAGCAAGTAGGATCCCCTCACCAAACTCTCGAGTGCGATCAATGGCGGATGACCTAGGAAATAACCCTTCTGGTAATCCTCGCTAGAATGCGCCTTTACCCTTCATGGTCCTTGCCTGACTGGTCGGTGCCAACAAAGCACGTGTTCGAAACGAGCTGACATACTGTTTGACGGTGCCCTTTCTCCCCCTACAACCCCTTCACGGATCACGCAAGTGCGATTATGTTTTATTATTGAGTGCCTCTTTCTTCTGATGCCGGTTTTCTGTGCCACTACCAAGAACTGTTCTGTGTATTTTTGTTTTGATTTGTCATATCTGGGAAAGGCGGGACCTTGACAACCACCAGGGAGGTTTAGTTGCTTGTGAACCTAACGACTGGGACATGGATCTTCACGATACCCCAAACCATTTCTGATGACTTGCAAGCATGACGATCCAATATTGAGACGATAAGTGCCATATGTTGGAGTTGGAGTATTTGATTTTTATCATTTGTGCATATATTATATATAAAGCGTGTACATATTCAGACCATGTGAAATTGAGATCGAATGAGACTGGCATATTGCTTCCATCGCTGTTCCTGGTTCAATATATATTTTATACACATCGTAATGAACACTAGTCACTAGCAACAAGTACTTATCATGGTTTCATCATCGCAGCCCTTCCGCCGTCTCCAGAGCAAGTGGCATCCCATAGTATACAATAGTACTAATCGAGAAGTGGCGTCTACTAGTATGAACCCCTTCATCGAATCGCATTGATTGAATGCCTTTGCTCGAACATTCAAACAGCCAAATCCCTTTAAGGATTAATAGGGCCTTCTGGCGATAACCCCACGTGGGTACCCGTTGCCATCCACCAACGCCTACAGCTGAACCAATCCATAGTATATTTACCATGATCAATCCAAAATCTCATACTATCACCTGAATGGACATCACCATGAACACAATGACTACCAACCAACCCACCAACCAATTATCTCCTCTAAGAAATCAAACGAACGAGATACATGAACTCAATGAAAATATATATATATATAAAGCTTCGAATTGATCATCCGTTCTACTTTTAGACCATAATACACCATATACCGTAAATAAAAATAACTACTACCGAATCTATACAATAAGTCTCTCGAAAGAGTACTTGCCCGCCGCTTTCCGCCGCAGATAGCCAATCTCTCTGCTACTTCTCGTCTTGACCTCACCAGTGGACAGCTTGACCTTGGTCTTGCTGACATCGTTCGATCCAGCCTTGAGCGACAACGGCAACAGCTTGCCGCTAGCGTCACCCTCAAGTCCATCATCGTCCTCCGTAGCGCCGAAGACCATCAGGTCTGCGCCGTTGAGCTTCTCGAGCCGCACCATCGCAGAGGTAGGGGTATCGCTACCGGAGTCGACGGCGACGGTGGTGGTGGCGGAGCGGATGGCGCTGTTAGCGTAGCGGAGGTATTCGTGGAGGATGCCCTTGAGGTAAGTGGCCTCTTCGATGCCGGCGAGGGCAGCGGAAATTTCGGACTTCAGGTCGGCGATGAGTTCCTGGTCGCGGGCGGTGATGGAGTCGTCGACGCCCGAGGCGGCGGAGATCCAGCCGGAGGGGCCGATGGCGTCGACGGAGGCGTTGAGGAGGTCGACGATGGTGGAGAGGGAGATCGGGGGGTTGGTTTGCTCGGCGGGGACGGGGATGGGAGGGGATTCGGTGAAGCGGGAGGTGTAGCCTCCTGTTGCGAGGGAGAGGCGGAGGTGGTGCACCATCGAGATAATCTCGGTGCGGGAGAGGGCGGAGCGGATGGAGGTGGTGATGGCGGGGAGGGGGTGGCGGTGGATCTTTTCGAGGGTGGTGTTGAGAGCGAGGAAGATGTTTCCGAGGCTGGGTTCGGCGTGGGAGAGGGCCAGGGCCTGGGTGGGGGCTTGGTCTTGGTCTTCGCCGTTGGTGAGCGCCTTGGGGGCTTCCTCGTCGAGGGTGACGGAGCGGGAACGAGCGGTGTTGATGAGGAGCTTGAGGATGTAAGCAAGCTCGTCGGTGGAGAAGAGAACGCGACCTTGGAGGACATCGATGAGGCGTTCGAGGGATGGGTCCGATTCGGTCAGGGCTTGGATGAAAGATCCGGTGGGGAGGGATGGGAGGATACGGGGTTTGAAGGATCGGCGGAGAGCGATCTCGACGTTGTTCGGCGACAGGTGGCCGATCTGGATGAGCCATTGGCAGGTTTGCTGGGGCCACAGGTTGATGGACAAGCGGAATGAAGACGAGGCTGACAGCTGGTCCTGGCTCGAGGCATCATCTTTCAGCTTGAATATCAGGGACAGAAGATGGACTGTTGTCTCCGGGTTGACGTAGTCCTCTGGTGAAGGGAAGCCGTTGGAACCGAAGTAGGCCAGTACTGCATGGTCGAAAGCATCGGCGTCCTGGGCCTCGGAGCACTGGTGGAGGTCAGCAGTCAGCTTGTTCCAGCGCTCGACTTCTTCGGGCGATGAGAGACCCAGAACTGCTGTATCCTCGGTGCGATGCTTTTTGGCGGATCCGATACCCCGGCCGATAGCGTCGATTAGCAAGCCATCCCTGGACCGTTTGAGGGAGGGGTTGGCAGTGTTATGCGACGGGCTCAAGTCGAAAGCGAGCAGAGTGTTGTCCTTGGTAGCAATGGCAACTCCCAGCTTGGCGTAGTAGCTAACAAACGTTGTGCGCGCCTTGATGCCGGAGGCACTGGCTGGGATGTCGCCGACAGCGATGTTGCGCTGCACGGATTTGTATTGCGTATCGTAGACGGCGATCATGGACTTGCCGGCACCGATCACGGACTGAGGGGAGATACGCATCAGGGAAGAAAATTCCTCATTCTCAAGAATAAACTTGGAGGTCATAGTGGGAGTGTACTGTGAGAGATCGAAGTTGATGTATCCCTGTCCGAAGGAAACGTTCAGCCCAGCTGATCCAGCATGGAAGTACCACTGCGAGCCACGGGTCTCGATCGTCTCAGGCCCATCAATGTCAGGGAGGTTGAATGTGATCAGGTGGCGCATCTTCTGGCTTTCGTCGTGGCCCGAAGAGGAGGCATTGGCCGGAACGGAGAACATTTGGACCTTCACGTCGCTCAGTTTCGTGTGCTGGGAGCCAATGGGTTGCGAAACAAGCAACAGCACCGAGGGTTCGTCGACACCGGTCTCTGTGAGGTTTCCAAAGGCTAGGGCGGCCAGATCTTGTCTGCGCTTGAACAAGGATTTCTTCGCATCTTCGAATTCGACGAGGAAACATGAGCGGATCTCATGAGTTGTGCTGGTTTTAGCGACCTCGCTGTGCCGTAAGCTCCAATGCTGGGTCTTCAAGTCCGAAGACAGGCGCCGGACGCGACCGTCTTGATGAACAGCCAGAACATCGAACGATCCTTCCTCTTCCTCCTCCTTAGACTCGGTCGGAACAATGCCAACGAAAACCGCAGGACTTTCCGAATCGGTCACTGAATAAGACGAGGAACCGATGGAAGGCGCACTAGATCCGTTCCCGCCATTCTCCTCCACGAAAGACTTGATCTGCTGTTTCACGGCGACGTAGGTCTGCCTCCTGACAAGAGACTTATTGATCTTTCTGCGCACCGAGCAGGGCTGGCAGGAGAACGCGGACTGAGGTGGGACGGCGTAGGAGGTCACCAATTTGGGTGTTTGGATCTAGAGAGAGTCGGCGAGTCAGTCTCTATTATCCTGCCAATGCTGAGTCTTGGAGTTCATGCATACGTTGTAGATATTCACAGCCTCTCCATCGACCGCAACGACCACTTCATGTCTCTTGCGCTTTTTTGAGTCGGCCAAGCTATGCACTTCGCCCAGGTGGGTTTTACCAGTAGAGGCATGCAACGGGCGCGGCAAGTGAGCCAGAACCGACGGAGGCTGCAGATCCATGATTGTAAGAGCCGGTCCAAAAGAATGCGATCGAAGCGCGACCGTTCTCGCCGAAGAGCTGAGGCACCTTGAACTTCCTGAAGAAATCCATTCTGTATGGCTTCCCGAAAAATTTCCGGGCTTATGTTGCGCCGATCTCCGGGCGGTGTCTCCCAATGGGGTTAGGGGCCACATGACTGCGGGTCTTGTATGGATTGGGTATGGTTTGAAATGACGTCCAAGGCGGGCATTATTGGCTCCCTCGATGGCCGCGCGGAAACACGCGCTGCTTCGCGTCGATTTCGTTCCTTAATTGCTTATCGTCGCTGCAGCTGAGAAGCTGACTCCAAACAATATCCTAACTATCCGCTCCTTGACATTCTTACCCCAGTTCATGTCTTAAGTACCCCTTTCGCCTAATCGTATTCCCTTCAGACGATGAGCACTGGCTCATCTCATGGATGCATCGTGGTGAGCCAGATTTAGTATGGCTATGGGACAGGGAGAGCAGCGTGCCATCCATCCGTTCTTTCGAAGAGGTTATTGTCTCCTTCGGCTTCCCCATGTCCATTGATGCTTATATTTTACAGAACTTGGGATATCCACGAGCCCAATTGGCCAAACACCTGTCGGCAATCACTCTTACGAGGGCCCGGAGCTTCTGCGCAAACAACCGCCCAGCAACCATGTCCCTGCCCTGTCCTCTTGCCCCGAACCGTCCCCTACGCCTGTTGCAACACTAGATCATGACCCTAACGCCGACCGGAGGAAGAGACGGAAAACAGACAAGGAGAAGTCGAACCCAACAACGTCGGGTCAGGGATCTGTGATGAACTATGTCATCTCCAAAGATGCGCGATCTCAGGATAGAGATACCACCTCAGTTGCAAGCGAGAATGCAGATACGGCCGATGATGGCCTGGCGCCTCCGGAGTCCAAGCCGGAATCCAAGGCTGGCACTGAGCCCGCTACTCCTGCTTCAGAGGGGGTGGACACGACTAACCAAGGGTCTGATCACGAGCTTGCAGCCGGCACTGCGCATGAAGCGGTGACAGAAAGAAGGTCACCTCGGCAAAAAACGATCAAATTGAACCCTAACGGAAAATTGTTACCTTCTCCTGTGGCAGATAAATTCGAGGATAAGCCGAAGAAGACGAGGACCAGCAAGCGTAGCAAGGTGGACTCCCAGAAGCTTACCGGTTCCGAAAGCAGGGTGGTGATCATCCGATACGGCATGGAAAGTAGTCCGAGGGAACGGGTAGGAAAGCTGATTGACGATATACTTGCTGGTCACAAGAAGCATGGCGTCAAAAAGGCCTCCCAGCCTGTGGCCCCCGCCTCTTCTACAGTCGCACAACAGCCACAGAGACCTACTCATCCATTCTTCCTGAAGAAGTCCACGCGCAAGCAAGACACCACAGACTCGCAGTCCCGAGAACCTAATTCTACCAATTCACAGCCCTCCAGGGGAACAGGACTTGCAGCGCGCCCATCTCCTGGCCGGGATACAGCATCAACAGCCGTTCCTTCCACCACTTTCACATCGTTTAAGCATCGTCGCTCTAAGTTCCCAGAACCTATACAGCCAATTTGGCCCCCGCGCGACCTAGTCCATGTCCGAGGCATCGAACACAACACCCAAAATACAGCCACTTCCAACCCCGTGATGCGGGATTTGAAGAAGGCAAAGATGGCTGCTATTAGCATCCATGACAACGAAAACGTACTTTTACACCAAATTCGGCAATACTCGTCAGACTCTCCGCAAAGTCTGAGGATTCCCTCTAGACACGTCGCTAGCGGCAAGGTTATACAAACAGCCGTGACCAGACAACTATCGGCATCTTCTCACGACAAAAAGACGCTCGTGGGAGCCTGTCACCCAGCCCTTAGAAAGCTCCATTCCTCACTTCCCAGTTACATGACTCCATTCGATCAAGGGGCATTCGAAACGTTAAATTGGGCTCAAAAGTATGCTCCTCAATCGGCTGACCAAGTTCTCCAAACCAGCAAGGAAGCATACATGCTACGGGACTGGCTGAAATACCTTATGGTTACAACAGTCGACACCGGTAAATCCTCCAAGGGCGATGAAAAACTAAGAAAAGGTGCCGAGGAGAAGAAACGAAAGAAACGCAAGAAAGAGAACTTGGATGGCTTTATTGTCTCAAGCGAAGACGAGGCATACGAACTGGACCCTGTTAATGAATCAGATGATGAACTAGCGGGAGATGTCACCACTAAGAGAACCCTGGTGCGGTCCAATGATCTGGCTCTGAGTTCGAAGTCAGGCGCTGATAGAGCTCGCGTATCCAACGCAATTCTCCTCAGTGGTCCTCCGGGATGTGGTAAAACGGCGTCAGTGTACGCGGTGGCAAAAGAGCTTGATTTTGAAGTTTTCGAAATCAACCCGGGTAACCGCCGTAGTGCCAGAGATATCGTGGAGCGTGTGGGTGACATGACACGAAATCATTTGGTCCACAACGCGAAGACTGGCGAAGTATCTGTCGCAGATGGGCCGGATGAAGCGCCACCCGATCACAGGCAAAACAAATTGATGGGCTTTTTCAAGTCTGGAGTCGCTAAAGACTCCAACGGGGCTCCCAAGGTCGACGTGAATAGCGCCACTCAAGTGACCGATATCAAGCGCTCTCGGAACCAGAAGCAATCACTTATATTGTTGGAGGAAGCTGATATTCTTTTCGAGGAAGATAAGCAGTTCTGGTCCGGAGTCATGGCACTAATCAACCAGTCGAAACGTCCAATCATCATAACATGTAACGACGAGAAACTTATCCCTCAAGACATAGGATTTCATGCCATCCTTCGCTATCGACCTCCTCCACTAGACCTTGCCGTCGACTACACCCTCCTCCTGGCTGCAAATGAGGGCCACATGCTCAAGCGCAACGCTGTTGAGGACCTATATGCGAGCAACGGCAGAGACCTTCGACGGACCGTCATGGAACTCGGATTCTGGTGCCAAATCGCAGTCGGGAGCGAAAAGTCTGGTCTCGATTGGATTATCGACCGGTGGCCACGGGGCTCAGATCTCGACCAGAATGGCGATCCGCTCCGAGTGCTGAGTTTGAACACTTACGAACCACACATGGGCTGGTTTAGTCGCGATATGTTGTTGTGCGACGGCATAGATGCTGATATAGAGACCCAGCGCGAGGCCTTTAATTGGTGGCACCTCAGCACCCAAGAGTCGGAGAGTAAAGCTGACGCCAAGTCTAACCTTTCCAAATCACCATTGAACCCAGTCTCGGCCACAACGAACGCCGAGCGGCTTGATCAGTTACGGCAGGCATCCGAGTTCATGGATATGAAGAGCGACCTGGATATTCTTGGCTCCTCTTGCTCGATTGAAGCCAAACTGGTAAGCCATGACGTCTGTCATACCACATGATTACCAGACATTGACTTTTTCTTTAGGATATTGTGGATACTTCGGCTCCTTTCATGCCCGAGAAGCAGCGATCGAACTACGCTGAAGGCTACACCTTACTCGACACCTCTCTCGTACCTGACTATTCGCAGACGCAAACTGCCATTGCTTGTACTTTTGAGGTCCTGCTTGGGAGAGCCTTTCGGCATGAAGATGGGCAGGACGAGGCTGCTCGAGCCGCCCAGGTGCTGGAGAATGTCGCTAAGCCCGAGTCTGCGAATACGTCCGAAGCAGGTCTTCTCTCCGCATTCGCGCCCATTATGCGGGCTGACCATGTGTTTCCTGCACCTACGGGACGCCTGGCCCCCTCATTTGAGAATGGCCTAGCGCCTATCGCCGAAGATCTAGGCCCGTACATTCGGGGCATCATGTCCTATGACATGCGTCTCGCACGATATCGCCATTTGCTGACCGGCGCGCTCTCCGAGGACCAGAGCGGTACGAAACGCGGGCGACAGACCAGGGCTAGCCGAGCGGCGCTAGAAGGAGGGAGCAAGGCTCACACGCGGAAAGAAAGGTGGTTCGCATCCGATGCGAATCCATCATTGATCCTAGCCACTGGCAAGCCAGAATGGCAAGATGTCTTGGTGCAGAAGGGATATTTTGCGGTCCCATCCGGTGGGGAAAGCATGCCGGAATGCCATGAGCAAACATCGGAGAGTTCAAGTGAAGGGGGCATCTAGCGGCGGATAGATGCACGAGATGGACGCGACTGCATTCTCTAAGCGAACGTATATAGATACCTAGATACCAGATGAAGAAATAGAATAATGTGCAAGATGTGTTGTTGTTGATGACAGAGTAAAGTGCAGTTGAACCATGGTTGTCGAGGGGGTCCTTGACTTGCCAGCCGCACTAGCGCCTCCCGCCGGTGGAGCGCCGACTTTCCCCCAAAGAGACAGACACTCGCTCACTTGCACGCGTTGCTGCTGTCTTATCATCCACCCCCCGAGGAAGAGCAGGCCCTTTTCCCTCGTTGGCACCCGATTGTTCATCGCTATCATTTCAATCGGCTGTCTACTATTATTCCCATCTGCTTGATCTGCTTCTCTCCAACCCTCCGTGGCCGTAGAGGTGTCTGTCGTGGTGGTGCCCTTTCGCGCAGCACTTATCACCTCATTGCTCCTCTCCGACCGAGCTCCGCTTCGTCACTGCCTATCAACAGTCGCATCCATCGTCCCCAGCCACCACCGTCTCCATGTCTCTGTTCGGCACCTCGCCGGAGGACTCTCCACTGGCTAATTCGGCCCAGAGGTCCAAGGCCTCCCTTTTCGCAGACGAGCCGCCGTATGGCAGCAATACGGGCAATGCGAGCTCCTCCCTGTTCGCCGATGACGACAGCTCCGGCTCACCCTGGATGAGTAACACCAATAAGAGAACGTCCAAGGAAGAGATCGTGAAGACTCTGCTGCCAGATTCCGATGTCCCCGAGAGCTATATCGATGCGTATGATCTAGTCCTTAGTGCGGGGGACCGCGTTGGAACCGGTGTCGGGTTGACGTCCGTTCGGGAAATACTGTCGGGCAGTGGCCTGAGCGCCACCGATCAAGCGAAGATACTCAACCTTGTT